CACCAGAGACGTAAATGTATCTCTGATCATCCATGGCCAGTCCCTGGCAATAGATGTTGTCAATGAGAATTTCTCCTTGATTTGTGCAACTGTAACGAAACCATCATACGATTCGTCGATTCCCAGAATCACAAATAATAAGACTATCAGTCTCTTTATCAATCAATACATCAGTTGGACTTTTCAATTGATCCAATCGATTTCCTTCACCGTTGTTTCCAACTATGACTTGTCCATTCTCATCACCGATCTTCCATTGGATGATACGACTATTATAGCTGTGAACGATGAGCATTGTTTCATTGTCAATAATAAGATTTTGAGGATTCCAGAGTTGGTTGGTGGCATTGCCAAGCCCGTGACCACCAGCAACAGTTACTCCATCTTGTGCCCAAGTTGCATCGGCTGGAATATTTGGAATCACTACAATAAACGAAATGGAGAAAAAGAAATGATCATTATTTAAGAGTAAAGAACTTCGAAGAGAATTTAATGGAATTTGAGTAATGTTAATTTCATTCAAGTTCTCCATAAAAATACATCAAAATTAAGGTAACTTTCTTCAGGTAAGAAGTGAGGATTTCTTCTGTCATATAGTAACCAGAGTCTTATTTCGAGAAAGCAATTATTAAGCTTTTTGAGAGGATTTACTACGAAGTATTGTCTGGAAATGCTAGAAAATAATGAAAAACTCTACCTACGGTGACACTCATTCACTTGCATATTTTTTAAGACTTTTTGTTACGGACCGATACCCTCACAGCTTTCTTTTCTTTTCTTTCTTTTCATATATCTTTGTTTTCCTTTATCTACATTTTCGTTGTTCTACTTTTCTTCTGTTCTACATCTATCTGAAGTAGTGATATATATATATAAGGACTTGATATAGGTTATATCGAGGACTTTTCTTTTTATGAAATAAAGGTTTAACATCAAGGACATATATATCCTCTCTCAAATTCAAACCCCTAATACTTTTGTTTCGTTATAATTCTGTAATAAATGACTTGATATACCGTTTCACAAATAAATAAGAAAGTACGAGGTCATCATTTAGTTATACCATACTAGTAGGATTGGCATAATTAGAAATTGATCTAAGTTGTACTCTCAGTAACAGATAACTATAGAACATACTTTATAGGCGGATTCAACTCAAAAGTCTAACGTCTATTAACATGAAAAAATAAATTATAAAAAATTAATACATTTCTAAGAAGCTTATCCGACTGTTGTATTTTATGGATAAGTGCCATATATATATTTCGCTTCGTAGATTTTGACTCACTTTGACTTGTTTTCTTTATGTATTCTATTATATAATGTTAGACAAACAGAAAAAATATATGCATATGAATAATATTTAAAATCTTATCCAAAACGACTTATTATGCTTAATCTAGTTAAAATAAAAAGACAATCTGGTGTCTCCATAAGTGCGACTGTTGAATACAATAAATTTTCAATAACAGTTTACATATTACTTTTTGGACATTCTGTTGCGTTCAAAACATGTTCAGCGAGTCAAATGACTTGAAATTGACAAAAATTCATTTATTCGTCATAAATTTCATAGCCGATGTAGCCACAATTTATTATACGTTTGTGATATCAATATCGAATTTTCGAGAGCATAAATCCTCTGCTGTTTTTCAGTTATCTCAATGCTATATGAATTTTTAATGAGTCATTATTAAAGGTTCTCGAGGGTACGGGTGTGTATAGAGGGTGTTTCATAGGTAACGATCTCGCTTTTATTTTCTTTTTATCTTTATCATATTGAAAGAGAAAAAAAACTACAATTATATATTCTTGAAGAAAAGAGTCTAACGAGGGAAGGTCG